TGTCGGTGTGATATTAACTAGACTTTGCAGAAAACTAAAGCTGTTAAATTATCTATTAACATATTCCTAATTTTTCTGCTCCTTTAGCAGCATGAGACACTTTTCATCTATTTTTCCTGTCATTTCATTCGTCCTCTGTCTTTTGATGGATGAATGTAACTACGAACTCAAATTGAAGACAGTGAACGCATCGTTTGTATTTCAGGAGAAAGGAGGCGCGTTCAGTGGAATGTTCAAGAAGTCGTCCAAACTTACAGAAAGTCCTCCAACAGATGAGGTGAGCGTCTCCTCTGATTTCATCCCATCGCTATTTTCAAACAGTAAATCTGTGTTTTAAAAGTTACACGTTGCCGTAATGTCACACGGGGGGAAAATGCAGCAAACTTTAACCACCAAAGAAATGCCTTTGAGCAAAACATTGACTCTCAAATGGGCAGTGGTCTTTCTCAGTGGTGGTAAAATGAAGTCCTGGGGTCTGTTTCACAAAGCAGTAACACAGTAAAAAATGTCCCTCGTAGGCTTCTACTTGTTTTTTCCCCTTCAGCAAGAGTATTTTGAACTTTTCCACAGTCTTCATGTGGCACAAATTTCCTCTGTTTCAGGGTGAAGAACCTCAGAAAGAGCTGTCGGCCAGCAATGATGACCTGTCCGAGAATAGCAGCACTAAGGTGAGTGTGATGTAACAGAACTCGGAGATCTTAACCTCAGCAGGAACGCTTACTGACATCAGTTTGTTGTTTTTAGGAGAAAAACATTTTCAGCAACATGTTTAAGAAGAAACCAGCAGAGAGCGTCACAGCAGAGAAGGTACTGCAGCTGAATGGAAAGTTAATGAAACATCCTATGAAGAAAAAGATGTTGTTTTTTACTGGTTTTCTGATTTGAATTCAGGAGTTGGAGGGAAAACCTGACAATCAGTTATCTGGCAGCAGCGAGAATCTGACCGACGCAACCACCCGGAAGGTATTTCAGTTTAAAAGCTTCTTCTGTCTCAGCTGTTTTTGTCACGTCAAGAGGAAACCGAATCCGATTGCATGAGATGATATCAGTTTTCTGTGCGCTTATAAGGTTGCGTCAATCATTTCATTCAGCGTTATTTAAAATCTAAATTTGATGTATGTGTTAAAAAAGCGAAAAGAGATTAAACCAGACCAGATTAAAACAGACATATTTGTATTTTTAAAGCCTTCACTGATGTAAAAGTAGTAATATTACACTATAAAGTTCTCCATTTAAGTAAAAGTGGAGTAAACACAAAATATTTACTTAAAATACTAAAAGTAAAATGCTAATCGTGAAGAAAATGGCCTCTTGTCGTTGTTTTTCTTGACACAGTTTCTGAGTAAAATGTTTTTGTATGAATGTTTGTATAGCTTGAAATAAGAAAAAAGGAATCAGACTTTATATAGTTGTTGTTGCCTGTTGATTTTCTGCAGACTGTGAGAACAGTGCATCGTATTTTATAAACTGAACATGAGGTTTGTTTGTAGATCTTTGAAGAGCTCAAGTTGGGTTTTTTTATTTTTTTTTCATCCCTTAAGTGTTTTTCTTCATCTTTTTGTGCATGTAAAAGATCTTTAAACTTTTAAAGTCCACATCAAAGGGAGTTTTTGTCTCCAACAGAAATCTTTGCCCCTCACCAGCCTGAAATACCAGTTTGAATCCCAGGCTTTGCTTTTGTATCTACATCACCATGTAACACATTTGCATAACACAGCTAGTTTGGCCCCCAAACCGAGCAGCTTCCTTGCAGTTTGGCATAATATCCTGCGCAAGAGCCGCTTCTGCTAGAGATGCATTCCTCTACTCAGAGATCTGGGTTACAAACACAGCTACCTTTCCTCACTTTCATCTGGCCAGCTGACCAGTCAGCAGACAATAAACGTGTTCAAGCGACTAAAAAAAAGAAATAAAACCTAACGTTTCATACAGAGGCTGAAAAGAAATGCTGCAGTAATGTTTAGCATGAGGACATGAGGCATCAGAGTATTCTAGTAGATCCCCAAAATAAAGTTACTCTGCATAATATGGGCTCTTTATTGTGTAAAAAAAAAAGTTAAGCAGAGTATCTAAACAAATGGTCACTTTAGCCATTTTAGTTGCTCATGTTTAAAATCTGTGTGTCTGTTGCAATAAATTTAGTGTATAACGAGATATTTTTTTACTGTTTGTGTTTTAGGAGAAAAAAGGAGGCCTGGCTGGAATATTCAAAAGGTCTGCCAGCATCGACAACCTGTTTGACGAGGTCAGTGAACGCAGCGTTACACAAATATGTTACCAACAACTAATCTGATAAAGAAACTTTTCTCCTGTTTCACACTCAGCTGGACTGACAGCAGCATCTTGACCTCTTCAAAATGTCACTTTCAGAGCTTTGAGCTTCTTCTTTCTTGCTCTGGTTTCTCTCTTGTGTGTTGCATACAGGGTAATCATGAATGTATTCGATCTACATTATCCTTCTTACATTGTCCACATTTACGTGTTTGACCACTAGATTTCAGTTTTTGTGGTGTAGCTTGTCAGGGCAGCTGAGTGTCTTTGAAGGCACCACTAAAGAGAAAATTCAAAGGATGTTCTGCTTTTAAGCTTTAAGTTACTCAGATGAAAATAATGTTGCGAAAGAAAAACTACGGCATGTTTCTAGATGGTACAAGTTTTTTTTGTTTGTTTGTTTGTTTGTTTTTTTATGATAGGCTGAAATGAGTCTGCTGCCAGAAAAAATAAATCAGCTGTATGCTTTAAAACATGGACGTAAAGTGATATTTATGGTACATGATTAAATCATAAACACTCGCCAGTTTGGTGTTTTGAGCTTACCCTGCGCTCAAAATATTCAAGAGGATGTTGTCAAGTAAATTTAATGCATACTTTAGTTTTACATGTTTTATTTTTCTTAATTAAATTTGGTTAAGGTCAGTTTTTATCAGGAATAATTGGTTTTAGCGTAACAGCCAGACAGATTAACATGTAGGAAACCGTGACAACATCCCAGAACATAATCTAACTTAAAGATATGCACACGATAAACACATTTACATGAGATTAAATACAATTAAACCCTAATTTAATCTTTGTTGTGCTAACTGATCATCAGAAAACAATCAATACGTACAGATAACAATCAGAATACAGCAATGCACAGTCAGTGCAACATAATTATGTTTAGTTACCAACAATCCTAAATAAATAATCAGCTTTATATACTGTGTCTTTGTCATTCGTTGTGTTTATCAGGAGAAAGGTGGGCTGTTCAGCGGACTTCTCAAGAAAACACCCAAAGCATCAGGAGACGAGGAAGCTGCAGAGGTGAATGAGTTACGCTGTTTGTATCACTGTCTGTGGAAGTTGCTGTTTTACACACTTTCATACCAACAATGTATTTGATTTATTTATTCATTTTGTAGGAGAAAGACTCTCAGAAGGAGCTGTCAGCAAGCAACGACAGTTTGGCTGAAAACAGCAACACCAAGGTACCGAGCTGGAAAATGTTTAAATGCATTCCTTGAATTTTATTATCTGCACCCAGAGACATTAATTTGAAGATAAGGCAAAGTTTAATGATCCTCTGAACCCCAAAAGTCACTGGTGGGTTTGAAAGGCAGTTTATCTTCTAAAGGTCACCCGAATTACACCATTTATCAGAGACAGAACTCGTTAGAACAAAACTTTCAGACCCACTTCACTGCACTGTTTTGTGGATGTGCTTCTCCTTTTACATTCAGTTCTTTCACTGGTTACTCAACTGATCGGGGCACTTTTTTTGTTTTTAAATTCACATTTGTCTTTTAGAGTATTGTTTGTATGAAGTGCTATTTATTGTGGAGTTACAGCTGTACTGTAACTCTGCTGCCCAACACAAATATCCCTTTAAGTCAATAAAGTCTATCTCATCTTACTCTTCATGTGATCAATTAATAATGTCTCCCTCTAAAGACTGTATGAAAAAAGTCTAATTTCTAATGTGCTCAAACAGCAGATCTTAACAGTCAGTTCTGTGAGGCTCTGCCCTCAGAGAGATCACTGACTGTGCTCTCTGAATGTGTCTGTTTCAGGAAAAAGGAGGAATATTTGGTGGAATATTCAAGAAGCCTCAAAAACCTGCAGAAGCTGCTCAATCTGACGAGGTAACTATGAAGATCAGTGTGGACGTTATTCACATTATCCGCAACCTTTTAACAAATTATCAATGCGTCTTTATTACTTCATGTCTGTTTAAGTATCACGACTTTGAAGGCGTTTTGATTTTGTGTTTGTAGGACGGCGAGATCTCAGCCAGCAACCAGAACCAGCCACAGGTCAGTGAGTTCAAATCCAAGCTGGTCAGTGGCTTTTCAACAAAACCACAGCTTGATTGATTTTTGCATCATTTTAGTAAGCAGATTAGCTCGTAGCAATGCCAAATATAGAATGTCCTTTTTATCCTACTCTTTGTTATTCATTTATCAGGAGAAAGGTGGGCTGTTCAGCGGACTTCTCAAGAAAACACCCAAAGCATCAGGAGACGAGGAAGCTGCAGAGGTGAATGAGTTACACTGTTTGTATCACTGTCTGTGGAAGTTGCTGTTTTACACACTTTAATACCAACAATGTATTGGATTTATTTATTCATTTTGTAGGAGAAAGACTCTCAGAAGGAGCTGTCAGCAAGCAACGACAGTTTGGCTGAAAACAGCAACACCAAGGTACCGAGCTGGAAAATGATTTTATGAATGACACATTAGAGCACTATTGCCTTTCATCATTTCACTCATTCTTTTAAACTTTAGAAACCCTCAGAATCAGAAGCCAGAAAACTGAAAAAACAAAAAACTTATCAGACTTTCAACTTTCAGACGATGGTTGAGCTAGTTATATGTGGCGTGCCACACAGTAATGAAAATTATCACTTTATTCTACATTTCTCATTTAAAAATTTGCTAAAGATGAACCATTTCCACAAGTGAGATTCTGTAAAAAAAATAAAAAAAATAAAAATTGGCCTTTAGTAATTCAGCTGTGACCAACATTCATGTGACAGTAATTCAGTTAGTTTTCATCTGAACTGAAGGCAGTGTTTGCAAGGAAAAGCTAAAAGATAGGAAATGTAAAAAATTAGAAATTAAAATGTAAGTAGTAAATATCTATAGTATGTAGAGCCACCGTTTGTTTCTCAGTGTGAGCACTGGGGAAAAATGTTGCACATGTTGATTTCCATTTTTTTTTTAAATGTTTAAAAATAAAGTAATTCAAATTTTAATTTTTTTTTTTTTTTTTTTTAAATGATTGATCATAATATACAGTTAATAATATGCTGGATTTAGATTTTAAGAAAGAAAAGATTTCTTTTCCTTCTCAAAGAAATGGTTATGTCACGTGATTGCAAATTTTAAATGGTCGAATTTACTGTGGTATTTATAATAATATTATTTAAATACAAACATGTGAGTGTATTACTTTATTTTTTATTGGTAAACAAAGAAATAACAACTAGATTTAACTTCTTTTTTTTTTTTAAAGAAGAGACAAATGTAGCTTTATGATTAGTAAATGGCAGTTCTGACGACATTTCTTATAAACATCCAGGATCTCAAACCGTACAAATGTACAAAGTCTCGTGGTTTTATGAGAAAGTTTCACATATCGCCTGGCTGCAGTGAAGTCGCACAGCTTTTCTCTTTCTTTCTTCTCTCTTTTCTCAACAACAAAACTAGGAGAAAAACCCAGCAGATTGCAATGAAAGAGGAGAAGAAATACATTCAGCCAAATCAAGTGTCGTCATTCTACCTGTATTTACAAATGCAGACTTGTAATTCTTCTTGTTCCTGATGATTTATGGCTTTGCAGCTTTGTCATACAGCACAGAAGACATTTCTGAGTGAATAAAGACTTTACTATGAAGTGATGTGATGACAACATTTTTAGCTGAGCAACAACTATTTTTTCCTCTAACGAATTAAACAGATTACTGTTTGAACTTCTTTATCAAAATGAGATACAGATTATTAAGTACATTTTCCTTGTTTGTTCTTCCTTTGCTTACAAAGATGTGTAAAGGTGCAAAGGTTTGTTTCTGACTTGAAACATACAGAGTGTCTATATGTGATGTCTTTCCCTAACAGACAAGCACCTCCTGCGTTGACTCACATTTTTAATTCCACTATTAACTGCGGCACGATTCAGATAAACGTCATATAAAGCTGACGTAACCTTTACGGCCACTTAACAAGATTATTTCTGTGTTTTATGTCTGATTTCAGGAGAAAAGTATCTTCAGTGGGATGTTTAAGAAAACTCAGAAACCAGCAGACGAGGTGCAGTAATGACCGTTAAACATATTAACATTACAATATAATACACCGTTTTATTTCAGCTGCTCTTTTTACTGTTTTATCTCCTGTTGTGTGTGTTCAGGAATCAAACACCGGCGAGGACAAGAAACTATCTGGCAGTTGTGAAAATCTATTGGAAGCAGCTGAAACAAAGGTACAGATGTTGTCACAGTCTGTTTTTTGTATTTTTTTTATGTTCTCTGTTATTGATTATTGACTATTGTTGTGTTCACATTTCAGGAGAAAACAGGATTTGCAGGGATCTTCAAAAAGTCTCCCAAACCAGCTCCACGCGCTGTTACTACTCAGGTAACCACATACATGATCATCCATTCATTATCTATATACCACTTAATCCTCACCAGGGGCACAGGGGGGCTGGAGTCCATCCCAGCTGATTAGGGTGAAGGCAGGGGACACCCTGGACAGGTAACCAGTCTATCACAGGGCTACACTTAAACTCACTCAAAACCTAAATTGTAAATCAGACAAATTATTACAAATGAGACTTTGGAAAGATTTGATCTGTTTTCTGATCACAGGAAAATTGAAGCTGATCTCATAACCTATTTATTTCCTATTTTCTTCCTGTACAAACCACATATATTTAAATTTTTACTTTTTGGGGGTTTGAGTTGCGATTTAAAACTCATTTTAAAAACATGATTTAAAACCAGTTTAAAAAAGAAATGATTCACAAAATGCATATACAGCATCTAAAAGGTGCTGTTGGACTTGAGTTAAGATGCTAAAATAATTTGTTTTCTTTTCCAGGATCCGCTCAGTGACTCGACGCTACTGTCAGCCAGCTGCGACAGCCTCACAGAGATTGGAAAGGTGAGAGACTCTTAAAGTCTGTGCAGGCAACAATGAAGTGCAGGAGGAAACTCCCTGAGATTTTCTAGATTCCTGCTACACACTTACAACACAACACTGAGGTATGAAGATACCAGTAACATGAGCCGGAAAGGAGAAGGAAATGTTCTGAACATGTTCTGAATGTCTGAAGTTTTTAATCAAGAGCTTAAGTTTCAGTTTTTTAGACCTTCATGAGGATAAATGTTTAGTGAAAACTGAAAATGTTCAAGTTATTGTAACCGGGTGTCGTACTTTGCTACCTTGATGATAATTTGTCAAACAAAAATGTTGAAATAATTGAATTCATTGTTTTTGTTTTTAAAGGAGGATGAATTATGGTCCAGTAACGAGAATCTTTTAGAAGCTACAGGCACCACAAAGGTGAGCCTTGAATGTAATATATTCTTTAATTGTAGCACCTCCTCACCTTTGTGTGTCTTAATAAGAAGATAAATACTTTCTGCTCTGTTTTTGTAACAGGAGAGAAAAGGCGGTTTAGCTGGGAGGTTCAAGAGGGCACCCAAAGCTGTGGAGCAGCAGGTACGAATCATATTAAACGTATTTATCTACACTTTTATGAAATCAGTAGCAGCTGGAGCAGTTATTAAGGAAGAAGTAACAGAAGTCAAATCGAAATAAAGCTGAAGATAGTAAATTAGAATTCTTCATTACAAATGATTTTTCATCAGTGGAGGAGGAAAATATGAAAATATGTCCATGCATGATGCTGGTAATTGATATTGGCAGGATTGTGAACGAGTTTGTTGATCCCCGTTAACTCCTGAGTTCCTGTTGAGCTGCTAAACTCTGATATTTCTGTCTTCTGTTGCAGGAAGGTGAAGACATGGAGGCACCGGAGGGAGGCGGACTGAGACGCAGGAGAACCATCAAGAAGAAAAGACGAGTAAGATGCCGTTCAGAGAGAAGTGGGGTTATTCTATTGCAAATCTTCAGGGGGGCTTCAACCATCTCTGACTTCCTCAAAACCTTTTTTTATCATCAACTATTGATATTTAAAATGGTATCTGTGACATTTTAGATCGATATATGAGATACTTTGCTGGATATCTTTATTTTTAATTGCAGTTCGAGCCACTTTCACTGCGTTTTTTTTTTTTTTTTCTGGCAATACTTTTATTTTTGTACTACAACTTGTCACATCTGCTCAATCAGTTATGAAAGTTAAATACATTTTTTTCTTTTCATTTTTGTGATCAAGTATTTCATATGAGTATATATTTGATGCTTTTTGTTTTATGCTTTTGTGACATGCAGCTACATATTGTTCAGAAAATATCACGAGTTGACTTCTGTGTTGTGCTCAAAGATTATATTTTATTTTATATTTCCCCTCAGCTATAATCTGAGACTGTTTAATCTACTTGTCCAATATTGCAGATTCTGAATGTAATGAGATGCAACTGAGCAAATCTTAAGGCTTTTATCTTTAATAGTTCCTGAGATATTGTTGTTCAAACAAGGCCTCAAATTTCAATGTGCGAAAATATGTCCTAAAAATAAGTAGACAGACTTTTTATATTTCAGAAAGCGTTTGATGCATCAAGCTAAAATTTCACAAATATCTGTATAAATATCCATATATCATGTTAGAAAAAAATTCAGGGAAATCAGAGATGGTTGAGCTGAAGATGTAATGATTTGAGATGGAATGAACCAGCAGGTAAATCAGAACAACATAAAACAAGCGCTACTTACATTTTCAGCAGAGTTTACGGCTGAGAACAGTTTCTCTTGCTTTTTGCAGTTTAAACTCTCACATTTGATGTTTCAATCCTTCTTACATTTTAATAACACCTTTTTTGCTTCTTCGTTTTTTCTTTTCCCACAGGTTGTGTCATTCCGAGTCAAGAAAACTCTTCCTAAAATTCCCAAACTGAATCTGGCTTCACAGGTATTTGCCGCCGGCAACAAAACAAAGACTTAATCATTTATTTTATTACAGAGATTATGTTTAGGTCATGAAAATAACACTGTTCTGTTCTTTCCACAGAGTTCAGATAAGATGCCTGTGGTTGAAGAGTCTGTTGAGCTTCAGGAGCTGAACCCAGCGCAGGTTAGTGCGATGATGATGATGATGATGATGATGATGAAGATGATGATGATGATGATGATGATGATGATGATGAAGTAGAGTTTCAGTAAAAATGTTTTAATGCAGTTCAAAGCTTTTCTCTGAGTCTGAATCCCTCACATCACAGAAACAACATTTCCTAGCACATATTCAGGGTGTTCAGAGTTGTTTCTGTTTGCCTTTAAATGGCCTTTTAATGTACACAGAGTAGCAACAATCAGCTGTCAACTGTTCAATAAATTAGCAACTATTTTGACAGCTGATTAATTGACAGTTGAGTAGTTGTTTAGGACAGAAACTCTATTCCATCTTTGTCATTTTAAATATGTTTTTATGCCTTTTTTGCCATTTACTGACATTTGACAAACCGAACAACTAATTGATTTTTCAAGAGAATAATCAATAGCTGAATCAATAGTTGAATCGTTAGTTGCAGCCTAACGTGGTTGTAACAAAAATGGAAGGAGGATTTGGAAGATGTTTTTGTTCAGATGCTTTTATTTTATGCTCCAACAAGAGCTTTTATCTTGTATACTGTCGTTCTTTAAGATTTTTCTTGCAAGAAATCTTGAGAAATGTTTTCCTAGAATCGTCTCCAGCTGGATTTTTAAACAGTAAAATGTATTATTAATTTATTCAATTATTATTGTCCTGTGTTGGGCTGCAGCTCTGCATGAAAGATGCTATAAAGTTAATATTAATAATCATTATAATAAAAAAATAACTTTTTTATGTGTTTCAGTGAATACTACAGGGAAAATGGACCCATGTGAACTATACAGATTGAGTTTGTCTTAGAAGTTGTGTTACTGTTTGTTTTCCAGGAGAGCACAGTGGAGGTTCAGCAGGTGGAGATGGCAGCTTATCCGACTGAAGAAAATCCTGCCCAAACTGAGCAGGTCTGTTTCACTGTATATGTATATATACTGTACAAGTGGTGAGTTGTCTTTTTTTTAAACAAAGGTCCTTGTTTTCAGGAACCTGATGAACTGATGGAGTGGTGGAACACAGTGAAAGGTTAGTGTGAGCGTTTACATCTAAACAATAAGCTGTTTAACGCTGTATTTGTAGTATCATAATGTAAAAGTACACTAATTGTTTGTTTGTGCTGCTGGTTGCCAGGTTGGACGGAGTGGAACGAGAGTTCTAATTTCCAGGCAGAGGATGAAGAAACGTAAATATAGCCTTTGTTTTTTAACAGCTTTATATCACACAGGAAAATATTATTGGAGGTTCTCTGGAAATGTATCAGGGTAAAGTTATGGAATGAGTCTTTATTGACTTGAGGGTTTCAGTTATATTTTAGTATATATTGAGTAGAATATTTTAATACATCTACGATGCAACAAGAGCTGACAGTTCCTGTGTGTCTCTCTCTTCAGGGCGATGGAGCAGGCGGCCGATCGAGTCTACATGGCCGCCCGTCTCTTTGTGCGTCTCTTCAACCAGCGCGGGGCGTCCTTACAGCAGCGCATCCTGGAGCTTCTGGCTCTGGCCGACGCCGCCGATCAGTTCCACAAGAAGACGGTGACAGCAGCTGTGGGCGGCGGCGTCGCCAGCGTTGCAGGCAGCGTGGCCACCATCACCGGGCTCATCCTGGCACCCTTCACATTTGGCGCCTCCATTATCGTAACAGCCGTGGGCATCAGTGTGGCGACGGCGGGCAGCATCACGTCAGCGACGGCCAACATCACAGACACGGTTCACTCCAACATGGACCGAAAGAAGGTGGAGAAGATGATCCAGGACTACCAGGATGAGATCAAAGACATCCGAGAGTGCATGGAGTTCGTGCAGGTGAGGACGTGTTGGTTTTTAAATATAAATGTAGCTCAGCTGGTAGCATCGTACAGGTGGAGGTGGACAGGCAGGAAGATGATCAAAGAGTAAAAAGCTGGTGTGGTGCGTAAGTTTTTTCTAATCTAATCCACCAAATATCCACCTGGAGAAGAATGGTGATCATGAAGTGACACGGGTTAATGTGACATCTTGAAATCATTGGTGTTATCCAGCTAATAGTCAATCGATTAATCAAAGATATTCAGTTTACATTTGAGAATCTGGCTGTTCTGACAGCATTTTTCACTTGATTATTAAACTGATTCATGTTCTGTCAATTCTCAAATTAATTAGTGTAGAAACCTGCCAGTTGAGAAATGTTAACAGAAAAAGTGCTTTCTAAATCTAGACTTATTTCTGGTAACTGTTGATCTTTACTTTCAGCTTTATGATCGTAGTGCAAGAAGGGCTCATTTAGCTTCACTTCCATTTTTAATCAGCTGACTAGGCCGGAGGTTCACTTTCTTAGCTAATGAGATTGTTGACATTCAGAATTACTGTCATATATACTACAAGTAAACACTGACAAAACTTCTTTATTGAAAAAGACCATAGCCCTACCGGTTGTCAGATATTTTACATGCGTTGGTCAGTATGAGTGTGAAATAAGTGAGCTTTAATGCACTAAAGGCCCTTAAAAAGTGATCATATGAGAATGCAAATATGCAAACATAATATAGTACAGTGAGCATGTTGCAGTGTCTGGGATGAAATAAAGTTATTTCCACATCTTTAAACCTTTTCTTAGGAAAAAGAGATTTTTAGCACTTCTGTTATCACTTTGAGTTATAATCCAACCACACTGCCATATTTGCAATAATATAAATGAATTAGAATAGAATAGAATAGAATAGAATAGAATAGAACTTTATTGATCCCTTTGGTGGAAACCTCAGGGAAATTGCTGCAATTAGGGCTGCAAGGTGGCTTGGTGGTTAGCACAGTTGCCTCACAGCTAGAAGGTCGCCGGTTCCTGTCCCGGTGAGGATTAAGCGGTGTATAGATGATAAATGGATGGATGGATAAATAAATCAGCTGTTCACTTCCTGCCTTTCAGAAATGTCTAAAATAATTCTGTAGTTGCCACTGTTTCCACCTTAACAATGACCTAATTTGTTCAGGAAATTTAAAGAATATTCCAACACATTCTAACCAATATGAAAGAATAATATCAGATGTTATTTATTATTTCACCACTGACTTTGTTTTTGAAATAAAACATGATTTATCGTGAGAAGTCCTGCATAAAGAGTAAGACTATGTCTCCCCGAGACCATACTTACCCTCCTTTATTGTCTCGCTGCTGTAGGAAGGTATCGACACCCTGGAGGAGTGGGATTTCAGCAAATACTCCGAAAGTGCCGCCAAAAAGGCTCTGAACCACAACATCAAACACGTGATGAAGGAGGGCGGCCGAGCCGGGAAAGCCCTGATGATCAACACCGACAAGCTCATCAGCACCGTGCAGGTTCTAGGAGCTGCAGGCGGCGTCGCCAAAGCCGCCCAGGCCATCAGCGTCACCACGGGCGTCATGTCGGCGCTCTTCTTGGCTCTGGACGTTTTCTTCCTCGCCAAAGACTCCCACAAACTCCGCAAAGGCGCCAAAACAAAATTCGCCGCCAAGATCAGAGAAGTTTGCAAAGACCTCCAAGACGGCCTCCTGGAGCTGAACAAGGTGAAGACGCAGCTGCAGAAGACGATGGACGGCATCGAGGTGGAGGAGTACGAGGAGATCGAGGAGGTGGAGGTGGAGGTGGAGGACGACTTGGAGTCCGATCCCAAGAAGCTGGCAGAGCTGGAGCAGGAGCTCGACCTCCTGGAAGAGAAACTGGACAAGAAGGTGGAGGAGGAGGAGCTGAAAAATAGCAAAGAGGTGGAGAAGGAAAATTTGAAAAGCAAGAAGGAGAAAAAAGAGAAGAAAGCTGATAAAGAGGAAAAGAAGGACAAAGAGGAGACGACGGATGAAGAGGACTCAAAGAAACCAGAAAAGGAGAAAGAAGTCAGCAAATCAGAGAAGATTAGCGACGAAGAAAAGGAGCCGAAACACGGGACAAGTGTCAAAACTTCCAAAGAGGAAGTTTTAAAAGAAGAACCTCAGAAAGGAAGCAAGAAAGACAAAGAAACCGAGAACAGATTAACAGCTGGGAAAGAGAAACACGAGAGCAAGCGAGACCAGGTGAAAGAAGACACCGGTGCGAATAAAACCGCAGACAGGAAGGAAAAAGAGAAAAATAAGACTGGAAAAGAGCAGGAAGAAGTAAAGAGCAGATCAGGGGACGACAGGAGAACACACCATGAGAGCAGAGAAAGTGGAAGGAGAAGGAGCAGCAGGGAGGAGAAGCCTGAAGGGAATAAAGAGGAGAGTACGAGGAGGCACAGCAGCAGGAGTGACAGATACGAAACGAGAGACAGCGACAGGACGGAGAGCTGGAGGAGGAGAGGAGAGGAGGAGAGAGGAGTGAAGGACTGGAGAGCTGAGATGGCAAGAAGCAGAGAGGAGAAACCAGAGAGTAAGCCAGCAGATAGAGCGACGAGGAGAGAAGATCACGGAAAAACGGCGTCGCATCGAAGCCACGAGACGAACAGGGAGCCTTCAGACAGAGAGGGATCGAAGAGGAGTCACCACAGGGGAGACGAGAGAGGAGGCAGCCGGGTGGAGAACGCCAGGAGGCAGTTTGAGAGGGCAGGAGGCGAGAAGGAGGAGGAGGAGGAGAAGATGAGGAGAGAGGATGGAGGGAGTCGGAGGAGGGAGAGACAGGGAAGCGACAGAGATCGAGGACACGAACACAGCCGGCGCGGATCTCGACCTCGATCCAACGCTCTGATGGAAGACGGACTCTACATTTAGATTTAACACCTTCCACGATGACACCAACGTCAACAAATGTGTTACCTCCAGTCCGGTGAATCCTCTGCCTGGGAATCGTCACATTTTTAGGTTTCATTTAGGTTTTTCGTTCTTTTATTTATATGGGAAAGTCCTGCACTCTAACTTTAACTAAATCACCTGAACTCTTCCTGAGAACAAAATCCACTCACTGGTGTGTGTTTAGCTAGAAAACAATGCTAATGTTTGCTATTAGGTTCAGTTTATTGTTGATTTTGGTGTTTTCATGGGATTTGCGTTATTCGGGACTTTCGCACTGCCACCATCAGGTCTGAAATAAGACTTTGGACGCACAATGTTTCTGCTGCTGTACAGGAACAAATAAATCAAAACATGTCTCATAAATACCTCAATTAAAAAGTATCTGCTCAACAAATTACTGAGGACAAATACTGAATAAACACTAAATACACTTAATCCAGGAATACTGAAAGTGTAATGAATTACGGCACTTTGAATCATCGCTAATGATGCTAATGGGTAAATATCAGCATGCTAACCCATTAAATGAAATGCAGACTAATTGGTGAACATGCTGAACATTATACCTGCTAAATTTGAGCTTGTTAGCATTGGTCATGAGAGAATGTTAGCGCGCTAATATTAGCATTAAACTCAAAGCGCTACTGTCTGAAATGACTCCTTCATTTACCACTACTTTATAATGCACACTCATGGTCCACAAGTGAAGCCAGTGCCGAAGTGACTTAGACCTGCATTCTGTCTAGCAGCCAGCAGGGGGTGACTCCTGGTTGCAAAAAGAAGTCAAGATTATATATAACTCCTGTTTTCTCACTTCATTTGTTACCTCAGTAAACACTTTCCTCATAAGGTTCTGGTCTCAAATGCTAGTTTTAAGTCTCTTTCAACACAGCACGATGTTAAATTTGTAAATGATAGTCCCATTTAGAGTAAAGTAGATGATTAAATAGGGATATTTTAAGGCGGGGCAACCGTGTGATTGACAGGTTGCTACCATATCGTTGAAAGTTGTGGTAAAGAGATAAACACTAGTTGTTTTTTTGTATAGTGGATAGATATACGCACTCTGAAATGTCCGACGGTACAAGTAGCGCACTATGCAGTAAATATGGAGTGATCTCACACGCAGCAATATTAACGTTAACGGGTCCGTTCACCCAAATCACAGGGAAAAAACATGCAGATTGTTTTAGTTGCAGGTTTTGAGATGTCTCAAGAGATTTCACATGTCGACACAAAGCAGGTGGATGGATAATTTTTTTGTTCCTCATAGCTTCAATAAACTGGTGTTTCAAGAAGCAGTCAGTCAGGATATGTGCAGCTTATTCTCATTATTAATGCTCTGAACTCCAAACAGCTTTTTTTTGTTTTGCTCCTTTCAAATTTCTAATCACTGTGGACTCATTTTTACTGCAGTATGAAGTCCTGCACATCTGTGGAAACAACACAAGGAGAGAGAACTCGAAAGTGTTTTTTCAAGGATAACAAAATTATGTCATAAATCAGAAAAATGAAAGATTTTTTATTATTGTTATTGTTATTATTGTTATTATTTACCCCCCAAAAAATGGAATCGTCATGTACAACATTTTTCTTCAAGTACCTGTAAAACATGGTGGCTCTGCATCCTACAGATATTTTACTACTTACATTTTTATCTGTTTTAATGCTCGTCTCTTATCGTTTCTTGGAAAACACAGCCTGCAGTTCAGCCAACAAGTCCCTGAATTCTTGTCATATGATTGTCGGTAAGTGCTGAGTCACTCACGACTTCTCGAACAGGAATTTTGTTTCATGACAGAATCTGTTTCGTGCCAACAGTTTATTTCTGGGGAACTTTTACATGAGATGCGTGAAGTCAATTCGATACAATATCAAGTTTACAGTTTCTGGCTCTGAGAAAACTTAATTTTTGCTACAGAAAAATAAAGCTCCAGCGGGTTTCGGGGTTCAGAGGGTTAATTTTACAAGAGAGTTTCTGTTTTTAATGCTGTGAGCAGCACAAATGAGATTAACGTTCAGCTCCAGGCAACAGAAATCTGCTCCACAGGCAAATAAAACCAAACTACAGGATGTGCAAGTTTTTCCGTAATGCGGGCGAACCGCCTCCTTGAAAGTCTTGATGTGCAGATATTTTTATGTAACTCGATCAACTTTAAAATAATTCTGATGTTCTGAAATGTGTTTGTGAGACAGTGTCTGTGACGGTGCATTTCTTTATATATGATCATCTGAGTTTCCAAAGTCAGACGGATGGATCTTCTTCCTTTCTCTGTTTTGTCGCTGAATGTTTACTGCTGAAGATTTGGTGACTTTGATTTGTTTTCGCCATAAACAACCAGCAGTTTTCCTGTAAAACACAGCGTGCATTGCTGCTATTGGCTCCTAACGTTAATATATATATATATATATATATTTAAATCCTTAGCATATGCAACATGTTGCTCTACATGGTGTCTGTTACTTCATATATTATTGGTGTTTCAGGGTAAAAATAGCCAGATTATTGTGTGTTGTGTCGCCTCTAGACATTTGTTTTTACTGTGAGATGTTATATTTCAGGTGTTAATATTTATATATATAATGATTTCTGTTCTTAAATCACCTGGTGCCTGTTTGTTTTTTTCTCTCAGGTTTAACATGACAACATGTTAATGACACTTTAGTCTGATGTTTTGTATGTTCTATGTTTTTATACGCTCTTTTCTACGGTGCTGGTTTCTTATCGAACAAATAAATGATTAAAAGTTATTAAAACGTCTGTTTATGTCTCTTTCCTGCTCTTGAATATGTCACTAATCTCACCTACAC